GGTTGGAACTAGATGGTCTTTAAGGTCCCTTCCAACCCAAACCATTCTGTGAGTCCACGAACCGTAGTACACATTCAAAAGAGAACAAACCCGAAAGAACACGCTGGTTACTCACTTGTCCTGGGACTCAATATACACGTAAAGGTGAGGCTCAAAGCACTTGGAAACAATGCCATGAAAGGGATTGTCAGGGACCTTTGGCTTCTTTGGCTGTAAGAAAGCATTTAGAATGTTGGTTTCCAACCTGTCCTGTAAGACCTAGAAGAAACAGTAATGCAACAGCACAGAAGGATCTAGGTCTGCAGAAATATTACAACACATAAATTTACTGTCAAATAATCAGTGTCAAATAATCAAAGGCAGGTAATCAACAGTATGTGCAGGCTGAGTGTGTCCAAGTCTTCCCTTGATCTTACAGAGCTGTTAGTATTCCGAGGAATTATGTTTTCACTTGTAAGATATTCCTATCTTAAAAGAGAAGACTGCTACTAACAGTTTTCAGTAGAAGAATCTTAGTTCATTTGCAAATAAAACCTCGCTGCACCTTTTGAACAGCAACAAGACTCCACTAGTCACCTCCCAAATGAAATGCAGCACTTCTTTGGAAGCAACATTGAAAAATCCCTACATTTTAGAACATTAAGGATAATAACTTTAAGTTACAGACTTCACCTGGATGGATTTTGTTTAGGTAAACAAGAACATAATTACTGGAGGAGCTGGAATTACATAGGCAACATTACAGGGCTGCTTTCACCGTGAAACATGTGGCAGGGGATGCAGACTTCGATTTTAGAACCACCTTTAGAGCATTAAGCCCATATGCCATCTGGGAGTCATCCTGGTTACTGTCACTTTAGTTTGGTACTGCACTCGACGGTGGCCAAGCACATCTCACCGACGCCGCCGGGACTACTCACACCCTTAAATCTGTCAGTGTTTAAGTACCAGGCTGGGCAGTGCCTTTAAGCTCATTTTTGTCCTACAGCTAGAATTTTCTTTTTTTTTTTTTAACCAATAGACCATTTTTCTCATTGCTTGCCGGCAAGCCAACAATTTTTCACTGCCTGCAAAGAGGGCTGCAGTGACTCTGGAATGGAATTCTTGCTTCTCTCCACAAAAAGTCAGGATCGGCTCCCAGCCAATGAAGATATGAATTTTTCCAGCTGAAATATTTTAGCACAAGAAAAGCAAAACAAGGGAGCCTGAAGGACATACTCCCCTAAATGACAGAGGAGGTGGCACTAAGCCTTTTGCAGGAATAGCAGAGAATGACAAAGCAAGGATTTCTCAGAAATAATTACAGCTCCAAGACACAACGAATACCGACATAGGGCTGCAAATCTAAAGCGAGCAAAGGGTTTTATGGAGACCAGACCACCTCCGTGAGACTGGCTTCATCAACCTTCCCACTAAGACGGTGGCTGGAGTATGTAAGTTTTTACAGCTTTGGGAAGGAGCCATACCCGGTGCTCTCCACCCCAGCCCCTGTGCCTGCCCGTTTCTGCCGGATGCACACGCTCCTCAGAGCCGGGAGGAAAACAATAGGTGGTAATTACAGAACCCTTCCAGTCGCCAAGTCTCCAGGATGGCAGTGCCAACACAAGGTTGCAGATTCACGATGTTTACAATCTACCAGGCTGGAAGAGCCAACTCCTAAGGCAGGACTGGTTTTCTGTGCGCATCGTGCTGCTCCCAGCATGTCTGGTGGAGAGAATACTAAATCTTTTAACAGTAGCAGTGGAGCTGTATTTCTGAGTGTGCAATCCTGTCCAAAAGCTGCAGATGTTTAAGCTATTTCCTCCTCGAGTTTGATGGAAATAGTAAAAGGTTACTGTTGTCACAGTAAGGAGGTCTGCAGCTGGCCCAGTTTCCTTTCATTACTATCCAAAGTAAACAGATTAAAATGAACCGCTAGGATCACTAAAAGAGGTTCTTTTTTAACATGGATATCCCTCCCCAACTCTTGTGCTCCCTCTTACACTCTTAAGTGTCTCGAATTTGCAGGAATAGTCTCTTGGAAGAGTTTTTCCACACAAAACTCTTCATCTTCAACCCTTCCCATCCCCTCTCTTTTCCAACTAGCGACAAGATGAAGCCTCTAACACAAACTCACCAGCACTAACCACCAGCTGCTGGCGCTTTGAAACTGAAACACTGGGGGCTTGCGGGGCTCCCATTTGGAAGGTGGGTGCCCACAGGACAGCCGCCCTTGGAGCAGAGCCCAGCACCTGGCCACAACCAGCGTTTCAAGGGGCATCTCCATGGATGGCTTCGTACCAGCCGCCCCGTGGACAGGGAGCAGAGCAGTTCATTTCTCAGGAGCACCTGGACTGGTTCTGGCCAAGGCAACACATTGTGCTGTTGACTAAAACCAACCCCAAAACAGCCTAAATAGGTTTTTCAATTTATCTCTTCACCTGCCTTCTAGCACTAATGACTTCTCCAAGGATATCGTCTCATTCCAGCACAGCACATCACAGCCAACCCTCTCCCAGGCACCACGTGCTGCGGAAAGCAAAGTCTTCACAAAAAATACCCCACACAAGCGTCTCCCCAAGTTCTCAATCTCTGACTTCCAGCTCCCTGGTAAAGTGAACCAATGCCAACTGTCCGAGCTGGATTTTAATGGAAAGAGTAAAACTTTGCTTAATCATTCAATTTCAGGAGTTCTGCTGGGGGTGAGGGGCAGCTGGCTGTGAAAGAGGGGCTGCCCTGCACCAAGATGCACAGGGATTAACATGGATATCCCCCCACCCCCCAACTCTTGTGTTCCCTCTTACACTCCTGAGAGTCTTGAATTCTCAGGAATAGTCTCTTGGAAGAGCTTTCCACTCAAAACTCCTAATCTTCAACCCTTTAACCTCTGGAGAGTTGCCACCCCACAAACTCCCCAGGGGCACAGATCTTAGTAGGTCCTAGGGCCTTGATCATCCATCAGGATATTTCCTGGGAATGGCCCTTTACAGGGCTGTAAACTCACGGAACAAAAAGGGGGCACCTGCCCCAAGCTACTTAGAACCAAATGCTTAGAAAACATCTGTCTGGTGAGTAAAAAATATGGAGCCTACAGGCTTTTGATATCGGTGCCAACCAAAACCACTGTGTTTACTGTTCACTCCTTTAATGTTTGCAGAGGGTTTTGGAAACCCAGTGCTGTTACAAGTGGTTAGGTGTTGCCTGCTTTGCGGAGGCAATGGAGGAAAAGCACTAGAGAGATCAAAATCCCAGAAGTAATCTATCTGGAGTGAACATCTAAAACTGACACCTGAAAGTTCAACGCGGTGCCCGGTGACTCCAGACTTCGTTTGCTTGGTTGTCAAGGCGAAGGATGAACTGCAACTGCTTGTAGTGGGAGCTGCATCTGGGATCTGAAAACCCAACTATGTCAGTTCATCTTTTTTTGACACAAATCCTGTAGTTGCTGCATGGGCTAGAACAGAATCCAACTCACCCTCACGGGACAGGATTGTCTCCGCGCTATTAACTGAAATAAAGAGTGCTTTGGTTTCAGTGAAGCGAGCCTGAGCAAACCACGGTCGTACTGGGAGCCTGCGTACTGCACAGAGAACCAAAACTGTGCTGAATTAATTGCTGTGAAAACAAACCTTTCAAATAAACGCGATGGGAAAAGCTTAGGCACCACCAGAGATTTTGACCCAGAGACTGCCTCGCTGACAATGGGAGAACTTCAAAGACTTACTTTGTCCATCTCACTTTTCTCCATCACAATCTCATCTGTCTCTGTCCCAGTTTCATCTTCCAGAAATGGGTTGGTGGAGGGAGGTGGCACTTCTGGCTTCTTCTGTTAAAAAAAGAGTGACCTCCTTAGAGAACAGTCTGTTTTGACCCCTCTCACACACAGCTGCATCCATGTTTTGTTTTACTAAGCCCTTCAAAGCTAGAGTCTGGCTCCCTCTCCATCGTTCCACCAGCACGCTTCACCTTCAGCACCCTCGCAGCCTGCCCTTCTTGCACCCACGCTCACCCGCTCTGCCCAAGTCCCCCCTGGAAGGGGCACTTTGACCAGCACTGGATTGCCACCCTCTCAAACCACACACTCCAAAGCATGTGGTCGTCACCAAGAGGACCCATGACACGAGGTGCCCAAAACCCTGCTGCTGCAGCAAATCCCGCGTGGTTGTCCCCACCAGACGGCTCGTTCCCAGTGTGCACTCCCTAGGCAGCTGTTTGTAATTACGGCCTTCGTTTGGTCTATAAAACAGGTCAGATGATGACATCCAGAGTGTCACAGCCTCTAGGCAGCTCAGAAAGGGTGACAGAGAGGATTTTCTTTTATTCCAAGCCACACCCTCCCCTTCTGTTTTTCTCAGTTGTAACAGCTTCTGGCACTGCCTTCTCCAAAGGGAAACCAACCCAGTGAAGCTAATTTAATTAAAGCTGCAAATTTCACATGAAATTTGTCAGAAAAAAATAAAGCCATATTCTTGAAAGATCTAAATTCAGCCAGGAGGAAAACCTTACAGGACTTCCCTTTTTTAATTAGCGGCACCTACTGATCCACAGCAAATTACAAACAGGCCCGGCAGGCTTGCCTCAAAGGCTGAATTATCACATCCAAGTAGGCTTCAAGACACCAGCTGGACAGCAAAGCCAACCTCAAACCAGTGGCTTCTGTGGACTCTGTGCTCCCAGGGCTCTTGGCTGGCAGAGCTTTTGGCTGAGATTTCAGGCAGAAAAAGCACAGAGATGGCCCCAGAGATACTCACTGAGCTGTTTCTCTTGGCTCGGCCTTCACAATCTACCAAATGAAACACTGAAAAATAGAAGCTACCACCGCCCCTGCAAGTAAGACTCATCCCGACAATGTGGGATTGAAAGCTGGTACCACACGGTGAACGTGTGGTAACTAGAAATGAAGGGCAGGAGGGACTGTTAATTATAACGTGTCATCAACATGCAGAGAACAAACATTATAATGCAGCCACCGTGCCGTAATTACGTGGTGGTTCTCCACAGCAATGTGGCTTCAGTTGCAAACAACCCATGGGGCACAGCCCCACTGAACACTCTTAACGTGCCAGCACAAGAGCTGGCTGCAGGTGACACTTTTGGCAGTCTCCCACTGCCACAGCTACGTGCGAGAGGGAGCTTTTTTCTTCCAAAGAATCTATGGACTGAAGGATTGCTCTTGAGAAATCCCCTTACCACCGTCCCATCAGCTAGAGTGCACCCTGAGAAGCGTTTGGCTAGAAGTCCTTCAAAGTTGGTCGTCCTCTGAATTGCAAACAAAAGCAGTTTCACCTCAATCTCCTTCGCTCTTGCGCGCATTATCTTAGCAAGCTCTGCCCTGAAAGACAGAGGGGAAAACCAGGGAAAAAGAATGTGGTTCTCTATAAAGAGAAGGCTGTAAAACATTGTGATTCACTCCATTCCCCAGAGACATTTTCATCTCACAATTCAAGGTAATTCCCACGATGCTCTCAAACACAAAACTGCTTTACAGATCACACCGCAAGCACAGCCAGTTGTTCAGAGCTCTGTGGGTAACAGGACCCCATCTCCTAACACCCAGCGTACCACTGCAGTCAGGCAAGCCCGCAGTATCACACCTTGGGAAGCACAGTGTCCCTAACTGGGGTCCCAGGACACAGGCAGTGGTGGTACTGGGGCTCCAGCTGGCACCTTCCTCTGGCCCCGTCCCGGCTGCCACAGAGCACGGCCCGTGGCAGTCACACCGCAGTTCACGCTATTTCACTTGGCCTCTAATATTACCTCTGCTACACTGAAAATTAATTTCCACATTGTCTCCCAACAGTCCATGCAGCTTTAGTGAGGGTTTTCACTCTTCCTTGCTTTTAATCATGGACAATTCTACACAGATATTTAAGAACTGCTTTTACAGTCCTACGGACACACGATCAATGTGGCGAAAGACAAGCCAGCCTTTGATTTTAAGGAAGGTGACTCTGCCAGGAGGCATGGTGAGCCGCCCAGACTCACCTCGTGACGTGGCAGAACTCCACAGCGATGCGCTCCGTCATACACCACTCCTGGGGAAACATGCGCCCGTACTTCTCCTCGTAGTCCACCAGCTGACGCTTTATCCAAGCATAGCGCCTGTCGATCTTATCCAGCCAGGCCACCTGGATAAAACAGAGAACAGCACCTTTAGCAGCAGCAGCTGCTAATATTCAGCCTGACTGCTTAACTGTGCTGCTGTAGTTTCACAGAGGAGCTCGGGCTATCGATCAAAGCTAACTTCACCGCTATTAATAACCCCCCCGATGCTAAGTCATTCTTCAAAGCGCTTAAACACATGCCAGCCTGAAAACGCCATCCTGTGAGAGCCCAGGGAGCAAGTTCTGTTGGGAACGAGGATAACAGGACTCCTAAATCACGCAGGTACTATTGAAAACTCAATCCAGTCGCAATTCATTTGATCCCACCCTCTTTGTTTTGCAGACAGAGAAATGAAAGGCGGCCATGGGATGAGAACGCAGAAGTCCGTGGAGTCCCATGTTCAGCTGGTTTTCACACTCTGGGGCCCAAAAACTTCTACACGAGTTCTTACAAAATGAGTAGCATTGGATATTTCCCCCCAGTATTAGTGCTTTCTAGCCAAAAAGGTAGAAAGATTAATGAAAAAAAGTTTGGATGGAAAAAGGCCATTTAAATTGAAGCATTTTAACCTTTTTCTTCTCTTTGTCACAAACTGTCAAAATTTTGAAATTGTTAAAAGATATTTTGATCCAAAATATTTTTTTTTCCAATCCAAGATGATTATAGCAATTTTTTTTTAAAAGATGTTAGCATCAGGACAAGAAGTTTAAAAATTAGCCACACTGGTTAATCACTGTTGGAAACTCCTCACCCCTTTTTTTAGGCATTTTGGGGGTTTGTTTTGTGTGTGTTTGGTGGGGTTTTTTTCATTGTTGATTTTTCAAGTTTTGGGGTTTGCAACTTTCAGAGTTTCATTTTTCAATGCTTTACAGGGCAGCAACAATATCTAACTCAAATTTATTTAATTCTTCTAGGAGGGGGGAGGAAGACATCCCGGCAGAGATGACACTGACTCCCAACCCATCAGCCAGCCCGTATCACGTCCGCAAGTCACTGCTCCCGAGCCCTCGGGTTAGAAACACTCCAACAGGAACCTGCGGAAACGTGAACTCCGTGAATGCCAGCAGAGCAACATGCAAAATCCAAATGTGTCTTGCTAAGCTTTCCTTACGTCTTGGTTTTCCTGGAAAAGGACCAGATACTCTGAGAGGTGTTGTTTAATAAATTTCTTGATGATTTCCTGTTTGATTCTGGGATCCAGGACATTGGCGACGAGACACGCATCACGTAGGACATTGCTGGGTCCACCAGGCCTCTATCAAAATAAACAGGAATAAATGATTTAAGGTTAAATAGCAGAATGTATGATTGTAAACTGTACTGCATGCAGGTTATCTTGGTTTTATCCTTGCCCATTATTCTCTTATTGATGCTTCTGCTGCTATTCTTTATTATCACTTAGGCATCTTTCTTCTGTTGGGTGAAAACTGAGCTGCTTCCATTTCACTGGTCATAAAGTTGTTCTGTGGCCCAACAGCCAGGAAGGGTAGGGTAGCTCCCTACCACAGAAGAGCAGCCCGCTCCACCGACAGAATTGCTGTCCCACCGCTTCTGCGAGGCCTTTCGGCAGCCCAGATATTCTGAAGAACAGCGAAGAGAAGTGTCTGACACGTGGGCCAAGCAAACCCCTTTTCTGCAAACCTGAAGGCCAAGTGAATGATGGAAAAAAGCAGCCTAGAGATGATCAATTTACAACACTTAACATCTGCTGGTCTGTATGGGCACAGTGCCAATATACTGCAATGTCAGCGCAGAAGACAGAAAATTCAGAAGCATTTTTTAAAAATGCTCTTTTGAAGCTGCTTCATGTGGACACAGCTTTGCCCTTCCTCAAGGATCTGTTCCAGGAAAGTTTCCTCATTTCTGTACTTGTTAGTTTTACAAAGAACCCAGCAGAGCTGTTACTTTGGAAGACACAACTAATTCACAGA